CTTGAATGTGCCCTACAAATTTAGATGAAGAAAATAAAGAAGAAAATCTAAGTTAACTTTTACCAAGTAATACTATTTATTCAACCTATGACCATTTATATCTAATTAGAACAAATTGCGAGCGTTTTATAAATGTGATAAAAAAAAAAAATAACGATACAAATTTTTGATTGAAAAAAAAAAAAAAACTTTGGAAGAGTTGCTTAGTTCTCACAAACAGTTTGTTCATCATTATTGTGTGCAGCATGTCTAGTAAAAATTTAGGTATTACGCCCTATATTATTTTTATTTTGTCATTTCGTGCACTTAACAAAAGGGAAAATACTAAGCGATATTTACCTTTGTATTATATGTAATATATACTGTGCCAATCCCGAAAAAAAAAAGAAATTAATTATTTTGATTTTTGTATACATTAGAGAAAGGCCTAGCCTCTTAGTCAAAACGTAAGCCCTCAGCTGGAGAAGGCACCTAACATAGATACAAGTGTATTTCTAACGGTCAAAAGTTAAACTCGCAGACAGAGACACGCATATAGACACAGTTTTGTAACTGTATTGATGTGGTAGCAGGGAGAGTAAAAGCTCAGCAGCCTGAGCTCAGCTTGAGTGTGTGAGAGAGACAAAGTTAGAGAGAGGGATTGATTGAAGAGGATAAGAGTGGAAGAGAAGAAGAGTGGATAATGGAGCATAGGAGTTGAAAAATATAAGAGTTTAAACGGATAATTCCACTTTTGTCCATCTATATATAAGAGTGAACGAGTATAAGAGTGGAAGAGTATTAGAGTGGAAGAGTATAAGAGTGGAAGAGTATAAGAGTGTATGAGCGTGAACTGTCTTGCTTGGCTAAATTTTGTCAATGTGTCAATTTTAATTTCGATTTTATTTAGACTACATATATTTATATATATATATTCGATATATGTTATATATTCGATATTAGATTGTTAGAGAGTTTACCCACGCTAGGGGCCACACACATTTGATATAGTTTACACAAATTCGATGCAAATCACACGAGTTCATCAACAAACTACCCTTTCTCTGTCAAACAAAATACAGGGTATAAGTAAGCCCATTCAAATAAAAGAGAATAAAAAATACAGATTTATGCGTGTATTCAATTATAATATAATTATTATTATTATGCACCAAGAAAATATGAGGAAAAACAGAAACAAAACATAAAAACTAAAAGAAATAATTAACAGCAAGCAACTGTATAAATATTATTATTACGACTACATACGATTATAGTTTAAACAGAAATAAATAAATAAATAAAWAATGAAAATCTAATACTAAATTGAAATGCAAAAGGCAAAGAAAACAATGAAGAAACTTAAGAAAATGAAATTCTATTTAAAAAAACTGCGTATGAACTTATGATTATATACATACTATATAACTATGTATTACTATTATTATTATTATAATTATCATTATCATTATTATGATTCTTATTATTATTACGATTATTATTACTATGATTACAAATGGAACTTTGTATCATTTGCATCGATTGCTCAAGAACAACAAGCAAATGTTAACCTCTTCACAAATTAGTTATTTCAAATATTAAAGGAAACAAACCCAGAATTTATCGTTCTCTTAGTTGTTTATTTTTCTTTATCACATAAAAGAACTCAAAGAAAACTCCCTCGATTAATGCAATTATGTTGATCTTCACGCAAGATCTGAAAGCTATACATCTAAATACAATAGGAATATGTTTCATATAAGATGATATATGTAACACAAAAATAAAAATATTTTAGTTGTATTTAAGCATCCTTTAAAGAGCAATCAATTTCCTTTGCCAACAAAATGCAAATAGAGAAAATACGAAAAAAAATATATATAATATATATATATACATGCCTATATAACAACTTACATGTTTTATTTTCGTTTATTTATACATACATTAATGTTCCTTACTTTCTTTTGATTTTTGAAACGCAAGAGAGCAAAAGTCAAGGGAATAACAAACAAAAATTCTAACTAAAATCTAAAGCTGAATCCTTGGCTGAAACAAAAAGAAACAATTAAAAACACACACACAAAAATAAAAAAATAAATAATATAAAAATAAAAAACAAGAAACAACAAAAACAAAATTGTAAACGATATTTATGAAGTTTTGGTGTTGAGGTCATAAAAACAGTTGGAAATAAACGATTTTCTGATGAATTGACGCTCGCCTTGGTTTTTGTCTTTTAACGGTTTTTTATTTTTAAAATCGAAAATTAAATATAGCAGCATTGCCAAGAGAACTGTGTAGGTAAGGCTCAAAGAATCATCATTTGGCTAATCTACTGTTTCAGCATAAACTGGCTCACTATTTGACAACAGAATGATCTTTAAACTCAGATTTATTATTTATTTATTGAAAACATATATAAATAAATTTTTATGTAGCTCTGTATTCTTATTGGAAATTAGCAGGTTGAAATATCATGGGCTGACAGCGCTGTTAAAAGTCTCACTCAATCGCTGGCTTGGTTACCTAACATTGCTATGTGCAGGTTTGCAAACTTACGCGCACATTGAGTGTTCTGTTTTAGATATTATTACTGAAATTAAACATTAAATAATTAACAACTATTGTTGCTAAATTATTTTTATATCACTGTACTGTTGCTACTATTGATAGTCAGGTGTTATACATACATACATATACATATACTTACAGTTTAATCTACACGAGAGAACTCCAAGCCGAGATTCAAATTCAAACTAACAGAGCTGTTTCGTCCCTAGCAGAATATTTAACAGTACGGCTAACATAATTTAGAGCATAGCTCTCTCTGTAGCGCGCATATTTGTGTTAACAGTAGCGCAAAATTGCGTCAATGCACATATGTTAGAGCTTATTGCGTCAACATAACACAACACATTATAAAACAAAATTATTCCCAATTGATAAAAAGTTGTGCCTGGAAATACACATATATATATCAGCAAAAATGAACAAAATTTGTCAAATTTTATTGCGACCGAGCCTGGCTAACAACTTGGCCACAACAATGCGCACGATGCCAGCGCTAGTAGCATCTCCACGGTGGTACAGCGCGGACGCAGCTGCTCCGCCGGCCGCAGTGGATAAGGAGACACTGGACAAGCTGGTGCGCACCAACAAAGTGGTCGTATTCATGAAGGGCAATCCACAGGCTCCGCGCTGCGGCTTCAGCAATGCTGTCGTCCAAATCATGCGCATGCATGGCGTCCAATACGATGCACATGATGTCCTGCAAAACGAAGCACTGCGTCAAGGTTAGTGAGATCCCAGTCGCGTGTATTACAATCTTACTAAATGCATGCCGTTCTCTCATCACACATAGGAATCAAGGAATACACCGATTGGCCAACCATACCACAGGTGTTTATCAATGGCGAATTCGTCGGTGGCTGTGATATTATGATGCAGATGCATCAGAGCGGCGATCTAATCGAGGAGCTCAAAAAGGTGGGGATTACCTCTGAGCTGCTAAAGGCCGAGGAGGCCAAAGATGCGACGAAAAAGTAACCCAATAATAAACAAAAGCAAATATAGTTAAAAATTAATTGTTGAATCTTTCAATATATGTACATCTATATATATATCTACATATATACGTATTTGTTCGCCATATCTCAATTGTGATCTTTGGATCTGCGCCGCTTCTGCTTGCTGGCCTTACGTTCACGCTGCTCGTCGATTTGCTCCAGCGCCGCCAATATTCGAATGTGCGCGCCCTGCGTCAGGTCCTCCATCTGCAAAAGCTCGCGGCATCTTTGCTGCATCTCCGAATTTTGCATGTTCACCACAATCTGTGTCAAGCTTCGGGCTATCGTATTGCGTATCATATCATCCGATGGCATTGGCAGTGGACGACGTCTTGGGCGCGAACTACTTGCCGACTCCGACTCCTGGGCCTGCTGCTTGTCTTGCTGCTTCTCGGCCATCCTGCACACTGAGAGCTGTCTTCCTGAACTAAGCTGAGAGCTTTTTCCACTTACCGTTTGCCACTTTAACCCTCCGCTGGCCGTCGGTTTATATTATCTCAGTTGTTGTTCTGTTCATCGGCCATCTTGCACACTGAGCGGAGCGCTGCCCGCAAAAGTGAGCTTCAAGTTTTGCAATTTACCGTTTGTCACTTTAACCCTTCGCTGGCCGTCGGATTTTAATATATTTGCTGTTGCTGTTCTGTTGATCGACCATCTCGCTCACTGTGCGGAGCGCTGACCGCAAAACTGAGCTTCAAGCTTTGCAATTTACCGTTTGCCACTTTAACCCGTCGCTGGCCGTTGGCTTTTTTGAAAGCTTAACCCTCAAGAGACCGCAAATTATTTACATGTTTTCTCTCATTTATTTTTAAATATTACAATATATAATATATAATACATGTTGATTTAGTTGGTGTTGCTTCTTAATATTTGTTGTTGTTTTACATACAAATATATCTATATATATATATATGTATATTGCTTGAAATTAACATTTGTTATTACCGTTATACATATGAACATTATTACTGTTGATTTCCATTAACTTGTTTATTAATAATTAATTTATTGTATTGTTTCGTTCGTTTTGTAGGTATTATGTGTTTGTTTTTCTCTTCTCAAGTTTGAAATAGTTTTACATACAATTAAAAAAAATAAAACAAAAAAGACTTATGCGCTATAACTTGCCTATTAGTAAACAATAATAAAAAGTGTTAAACGCGATATGCCATACAAGCAAATATACACATATATATACAAACCGATATATAATACGCTGATACATACATATATGTATATACGTGCTTGTAGTTATATAAAAAAGTAGATTTGTAATACTTCTAAAGTTCAGCTCTTCATAAATAACCAGCATTAGCAGATTGGAACAAGGATTGCGCAAAGCGAGCTTTTGCGTAGCTGCGATTCGTTACAACGGATAACGAGTCACGATTAGAAAGTAGCGAGTAGACGGTAGCTGTAGCTGCAACTCGGCTCAAACAATGGACGACTTGTCCAGAATGGAAGAGGTGTCCAATAAAAGCTCAGTGCTACCGCTGAGAATGTCGTACAGCTCGTGGGGCGCATCGCCAGCAATGGGGCTGCCGAATGGAAAGAATGATGAGAGTGTGGATAGCTGCAGTGGTCCGCCATTCACCACATTCAGGCCATTAGCAGTCGATCCTCCTCCTCCTGCGCCTGGATCGGGCTTGCGGCGTCGCTCCACACCGTCCACATACTCCACAGGCTCCTCTTGCTGGCGCTGATCCTGGTCACGCTGCGACTGCGGGCTGGGTCGCTGCTCACCCATCGCTTCGTAGAAGGCGTCGGGCAGGTCCTCGAAGCTCTGTAGATCGATGCAGCGCTGCGCCTTGGCGATATTGCTCAGCATCAGGCGATAAAAGAGATCCACCTGCGGCTGTCCACCTCCACGTATGTCCAGCACGGGAAGCCAACGATAGTAGCACTGATCCCACACGGACAGATCGAGTATGCGATGCGAAGGCTGCAGGTAACGGTCTTGCGGCACGGTGGACTGCGTCGCAAACAGCTGAGGATTGATGGTGTAGCGCGATGGAGAGGATGTTGCCAGAGGTCCGCCGGTTCCAGTCGTTGAGAGCAGCTTGTGTTGCCCACCCACGGCCAAGGAGCGTCGATAATTTTGACCGGCAGCCAAATCTCCACGCTGACGCTGATAGAGCGGATTGGTGAAGAACATCTTATCCTTTTCGCTGAACTGCTCGCCCCAGTCCCAAACGGGCCGCAGCACCAGTCGCCCCTCGCTGACGGCGCGCGCCCGCTGGGCCTGGCTGTCAAACTGGAAGGTGTCGAATATGGGCATGAAGCAGGCATCCCAAAGCGTCGTCAAATACGTTTGCGAGAATTCAAACTCGTCCGGAAATTGTTGGAGCAGTTGCCACACACAGTCGAGATAGAGTAGAAATATGGGACTCTGTTCACTGTCCGGAGCCTGCTCGCTGTTGGACACATAAACATGACCCAGGCGGCGCTGGAACGGATGCTCCAAGGCCACCCATTCCTTTTGCACCAAAGACTGGAAGCCGTCGATGGTGCGGAAATGCGGATCGAGTAGCAGCTGAGTCAAGCTGCTAATCACGCAGCACAAATCCCGGCCATTGGACTCCTGCAGCACACAGGTAACGGAGGCGCGCAACGTGGCGGCCGCCTCCGAGGCTTGCCGCAGACAGAGCGAGACGTACAGCAGCCAGTTGGTCTTCTCGAGCAGAGCCAGATACTTGTCGTCCTGTAGCATGAACTTCTCCGGCGTTTCGGGCGTGCAGAGGCGTCGCAGCTTGTGGTACGCCCGCTGCACGTCCTGCGTGCTGGGCAGCTGGTCGGTCAGCTGTATCAGCTTCAACTGCTTCCGCTCGTCGCACTTGCGCACCAGCTCCAGCATAATGTTCTCCAGCTTCGTGTCCTGCTGCGAGCTCGGCTGCAGCTCGGCCAGGCGCACCAGCGAGGCGGCGCTGCTGCCATAGCTGTACACCCAGAAGGCGGCCCGCGAGTCGCAGAAGGCCAACGACAACTGCAGGAAGCGGTCCACCTCACAGCACTTGGGTATGACAAAGTGGGGCGGCAGCGTGTACTTGGATGCGTGCAGACGGTTCTGGAGCAGAGGCACGGAGCTGGCGCTGACCACCTGCCACTCAGTGGCGCCGCAGCGTATCAGCTCGCGTGCCCAATCGTTCTTGCTGGCGTACATGCTTACCCCGACCAGGGTGGAGTAGTAGGGCTCCTGATACGAATAGGCGAAGCTCAGGTCGTGTCGCATCGGATACGCGAAGCGGGCCAGCGCCGAGGCAATCAGCTTGCCGTAGTCACTGGCTCCGCTCAGCTTCGAGTCCTGCTGCTGGAAGGCGAACTTGAGCAGCCGAAAGTTCTTGCATATGATGTGCAGTGCCACGATCCGGCCGTTGAGATTGTGCTGCTTGGCGGGCTCCAGCTTTTTCCGTCGACTGCTCGTGCCCGCCATGCGCGCCGCCTGGAGCGCACTCGCCGCTCTGCCCTGCTCGGCAATCGTATAGATCTGGTCGATGTTGTTCAGCGTCACCTCGTTGCGACCCAAAAAGTTATTCCCCTGGTACAGATCACTGGCCAAGGGTGCCGACTGTGCGCCTTGACCACCGTGCAGCGGCACAAAGGCCAGCTTGAAGTTGGTCACGCTCAGCAGGCCGAAGGTGGCCTCCTTGTGGCCACCTCTGCTGTACCTTCCTCCGGCACTGCTGTTGCTGCTATTGTTGCCATTGCCATTCCCATTGCCGATGCTGTTGTTAAAGTTGTTGCTGGTGCTGCTGCTGCTGTTGCTGCTGTTGCCGCTGCCCTCCATTGGCGCTATCGGCGAATACATGTAGGCGGGCGCTGAGGCAACGATTTGCTCGCCGCTCAGCATGCGAGGCGTGGCCAGGTGCACGTCACGCAGGTCGCTGGGCAGGCACCACTCGTTCGTATCCGCTGTGGCGCGCACATCCCCAGCCATGGGCGCCACGTAGCTGGTGAAGGTGTTGCGCTTTCGATGGTCTGGCATATCATTGCTGCCAGTGGCCATCCTCAGCCACTGCTTGTGATTATAATTGTTATTATAATTCTTATTGTTCCTGTTCGGGTCGGCCAGTGCGAACAACTTTGGTGTGTGGGTCCGCACGTACTTTGAATATTCAATTATTTCTTATTTCCTGTTTGCCTACAAGTCGTTGCTGCTGCCGCTGCTGCTGCTGCTGCTGTTGCGTTGTTGCTGTTGCTGTTGCTGTTGCGACTGTTGCTGCTACGGCTGCTGCTGCTGTTGATTTGCGTGCAGCTGGCTGCTTAACCGTTAGCCAATGCCGCCTCCAATGGCTGACAACTGTATGTAAAATAATAAAAAAAAATAACAAAACTATTAGTTGATTCTCTATATGTTTGGTGTAACTTTACACGCACACACCCGCATACACACACATGCACACTTCCACATGCAGTTACAGATATATGAGCATAGCTCATAGCCAAGCATAGACGAAATTAGAATTATCGTCGATTCTGATAAGTTTATCAGTTCCAGCTTACCTATTATTTATTTTATTGGTGCTTTTGTATTGCTTGCGTTGCTTTCGATGTTGGCCTTTAACGTGGAATCGCTTTAATATGTCATCTTTGTGCATCATCTATCAGCGCACATATGTATGCATATAAAGTCATTTATTTATTTGTTATTTTCGTTGTTGCCATTAATATAT